GTACATTATTACAGTTAGTTTGTCTAGGTTACCGTGTGCTTTGAGGGATATTATTACCCAGTGACTACTCTCACACAGGTAAGGTAAATGGTCACTGAATTTGAAAATCTTTCGCTAAGAATAATGATGCTTTTTTGGTATCTCACTAGCATCAGTAAAATAACCAGAATTTATTCCAAAGACAAGAATAGCATTGTCAGTATTGACAAATAACCTTCAATTTCATGTTCGCCCACTACCGCATTCCCAAGATCTCATTCACTGAGATCAGGTTATGTCCAGAGTGAGTAGGTGGGATTCTCACCTGTAACCTGCAAGGGATTATTGTGGCTCACACCTATTCAAATTGACCAAATACGTCCAGTTTTCAAAGAAGCCAATTAGCTATATGGGGAGTGATCTTCCAGGACACATAACAAGAGTGGAACTCTGCCAAACTCTGAAAACCTAAATGCCTTGGTAGATTTAGCGAGAAGTTGGAAACCACTCTTGATTCTGTAAGTAAGGCACTAATTTTAAAACCTTATCCATAAACTTTATTCAGTAATAACTGAGAAATTTTCAGCAACTCCTTCATCGAAAAATTCTTCATTTCCTATGGATTCACAACATATTGCACATCCAATTTAGTTTTTTTGTATTTATTTGTATGTAAAATCAATTTTTGAATAGTTAGCAGAAAAGAATATTTTTTACGAACTCAAAAACAACCATTCGAACTTGACAAAGCTCATTGGTAAATAATTTGTTGATCTCAAGTATATTTTGATTGTTTATTTGTCTATTTCTAGTTTTATTTGTGAATTTCTTCAGAATTCAAAAATTTTCAAAGACAAAAAGTATTTCAAGTGAGTATTTCAAGAAATCCTAAAACTTTCAGTTTTGAAAGATGTGTGTATAAACAGAATACAGTTTTTCTAATCTCATTACTAAGTATTAGGTTGTTTGATAGTTTTTTTTTTACTCTTACCCATTATAGAATTTTAAAAACCATTTCTCTTGATCAACCTACCTTTACTAGTCCACCGTGTAAAAAAAATTACTTTTTTTGGGCATTACACTATAATGAACAGAATGACAGGCTAAAATAAACAGATATTAGAAAATTATGTAAAGTACAAAATAAACTAAAAATGCGTGATTTTTGCATAGTTTTTGCTTCATGTTAACTATCTATACAATTATTCAATATAAATATCTTGTATAGAAATAACTGAAAATGCAGAAAACTATACAACAGGCTCATCTACAATACTGTTGGCTTTACGTTACCTGACATTTTGATATAACAGCTGTCACTCCTCAATAACCTTCGTGGAAATACTCCAGCTTGATCCTTCTTGGTACAAATTAAAACTACTTAAGATTCCAAAAAATGTTGAAGTATATTGTTATTCTCACCAATAACCGTCAATCTAGGTGGAAGACGAACGGTAAATTTGTAGTAGCTTTCATGTCTGGTGGTCTTTAAAGGTTCCACTCAGCTTCATGAAGATTTTTCACACACAGAGGCCCTTTTGAGCCATTAATTGGAGCCTCTGTAAATCAACAATGCTATTTGAGTAACATTCTAAAGTGACGAATACAGAATAACCAAAAAAACGAATTACTGGTCAGGTTTTCGAAATTTTCAATTTCATCGAAGAAATCTACAAATCCAATTTTGTTTTGAACTTTATATAGGATTGCCAATACATGCAATATGTTAAGAAGATCTCAAAATAAATGAACCATGATTTTCATATCCTACAAATATCACTAAAAACAGTTAAGATAGGAATTCAATAATCAAATTGTTGTATCGTGCATTCATTGTAAAATAAACACTAATTTCTCCATTAAGTTCCAAAACATTTGAAACTTTTTAAAAAAAGGAAGAAAAAAATAAAAAAATGTGTTAATTAATGCACTTTTGCTGTCAGTTGATAAATTTACTAATTTGTAGCATACATAAAAAATGATTTGCAAAGAAAAAAAAAGGACTGATCCTAGTTTTGTAAAGAAAATTTTTTTGAAGGTAACTACGCAGATCTGATAAAAACCTCCTGAAAACGATCACTACATAGAGTAGTCTGAACTTTATTAAAAACTTTTTATTAGGAATATAAATAAGAATGGTCTCACAGATTTGATCAACATTTATCCATTAAAAGTTACTCAATACTTATTGATCAAATTTGCTCTTTACAGTTACATAATATCACTTGTTTTGTCTTTGAAATCATTCTTATGAGGGAGTCAATTATTCATGATGTTTTAATCATCCACTATTTGAAAAATGGATAAATCTCAAGACAACAGAGAATCAGTTCAAGTGTCAATCGAAAAATTTCACTATAAATATAAATTTTACCTATAAATGAAACAAACAACGGAAAAATAAAATGTATACACTTAGTTTTCAAGTAAAACTTTGTGAGATTTTCACTTAACAGTTCACAAAACTGCAACGTGTTTCGCTATGCAATAGATTCCTCAGACATGTTCATATGGGTATGAACGCCTAAGGAGGCTATTGTATAACTAAATACATGATGCAATATTAGTCTTACTTGAATAAGTTATGGATTTTCATAGTATTGGCCTATTCCATCACATATTATATACTTAGCTTTCTTCAGAAACGCTGATGTTTTGGAAAGCACTCTATTTCAGTTGTTAAAACCTAATATTCATGGTGAAAAATGCTTTGGTGGACAAAAGAAATCTACACATTATCAGCCAAGGCATTTTTTACCAAGAACTGATCAAGGTTTTGAAAACTGAAAGAAACTGCTTTCCCTCAGAATATCAAATGGGAAGGAAAATGAGTGGCAAATCATTTTAAAGGGTGTTCAATCATCTTTTCATCAGTGACGAAATTTATAATTTTTTGATGAGCAGGTTCTGAAAAATATCGTTCTACACTTACAGAAGTAATTAGAACTGACCTTCACTGAATTGAATGGTTTCAAGGTTGGTATTCAAGCAATTATTATTGTAGTGACTCTCTTATCAGTAGAACTCATTAGAGATGAGGTGACACTTTTCCAACTTTTCATCAGGGGCAACATTAGCCGTTAGCCCCCAAAAATTAACGTCAATTAGTGATCTAATAGTGAAATTTTGATCGTAGTTGAGCGTAGTTAGAGCGTAGCGTTGAAATCCCAACAAGTTGGCCTTCCTTTTTTGCTACTTCCTATTTAAAAAGCTTTGTTGTTTTCATCAAAGAATTGTTCAACAAATTTCAACAATTTTGTAGTACTGTTGATTCAGTTTTATTTGTTGGGCTGTTCAGTGATATCTTTAATAAGTGTATAAACTGTGAAAATAGTTTACTCTCTTCAAAAACGAAACGATTATTTATGGAAAGCTTTCTTGTTGAAGAAAAAAATCAAAATTTGCTATTTACAGTTACATATTTCTTCATAGTCTTTGAAATCACCTTTAGGGGCAATAACAGAAAAAAACAGAGTACTAAACAAAGAAGCTCAAATTGAAGCACTGAAAATACATAAATTTCATCCATATAAGATATGACGATTATTCACCAGCTCCATGAGGACGATTATGATAGAAGAACAGAATTTTCTGAAACCATGACTCATCGAGTCAATGTCATACCTAATATACTATCAAATATCAGTTCCAGCGATAAATACATATTTTTTCTGAATGGCAATGCGAACAAGATATATTCCTATTAGTCAAGGGTTGTAATGATGCCATCTACTCTTCTAACCATTTCTATCATTAGGCGAGTCAATACAATATTTATTCGAATTCTAACCTGAAAGCCATGCAACTCAGTACAGACCAGTTCCAATTACTTTTGTAAATATAGAACGGTATTTTTCGGAAACTGCTTATAAAAAAATAATAAACTAAGAAGTCACCCATTTGATATTATGAGGGCAACATCTACCCTTTCCAAGGGGTTGAACCCTTAAAATAAAACTGACCTGTCATTTCGATTTTTTATATTATGTACAGGAAGGCAGATGTTAAGGGTGGGACGTTTTCAAATTGACACCAAGTATATAGCGAAATAATTAGCAACTGGATTAATTATTAATCGGTTCTATTTGTGAGATTGCAGTCAATTGCTGGGCTGTTACAAAGAAAACTTTCACATCTTCGTCAAGACAACTACAACAATAAGATTACATATTTTGTGAAAATATAAACATGAAGAACTTACTTATGTGAGAATAGAATATGAAATTACTCAAAAATGGGTAGAAAATACATAATATATACATATATTGGAACAGTAACTTTTCGGATGGAACTTTCGGTTTCCTATTTGTTACACTTGAGCAGATTTTCGTTGATTTACATTTATTTTTCAATAATGCATAAAACATCAAGAATCACATGTCATTTATATTTATGTTTATTAGATGCCTAACACCAAGACAATAGTCACAGAAAATGTTGTTCTCCTGAGACATTAACATGACTTGAATGTCCTGGAGGGCTCTACTGATAATCAATATAATAATGCAGTCAAAATTGTATAAAAAAATGTTTACCTACATTTACTCAGTTAAAATCATCTTACACCAAGTAGTGATATGATCTGACTAAATCAGATATGTTTGAACAAAAAAATTATAGAATTGACAATCCTAATATTTCTACTCAGAAAAACCTTTCTCCTTCTTCAGTTAATAATTACCTTGATATTATAGCTTCGCAAATCATTTGACAAATATCTTTTATCAACAAGTCTTTACCAAGATTAAACTAAGCCTTAAATATCAACTGCTATCACAAATAAGTGGCTTTTTAGTGCTTAATAGACATTATTCACTAAATGATTTCTCAAAATATAAATGGAATTACTTGAGGACCTCAAAAAATAATTGGCCATAATGTTCAGGTAACTGAAATAAATCTATTAATTCTCTAAAATTTCACAAACAGAAATGTATAAAATGATAAATGTGTGATGGAACATTGTTCAATGACTGAAATGTTATGTTCAAGATGTCATAAAAAATATCAATTCAACTTACTTGTTCGAGTTGACTTGTCGTATATGGGTAAAGACATTGATTACGTCTCTGACTGTCCTTGGTGCCTCCTCGATTTTGGAAGCCAAGCAGACACAAGCCATTGCTGTGTGCTCGACAGGATGACGAACTAGGCTCTTGGAGTAATAGAATCGCTGCAGAAGAACCTGCCCACTAGCCATTGCAACCTAAAACATATCGGCCAAACCCATCAGTAATAGATATATATTTTTTTTAAGATTATGGATGTGCCGAACTTAACCTACCTGAGGTAATTTCAACAATATTCCAGCAGTTTGAATCAATTCACAACCATAAATACGCAAATCTGTCTCTGTGTCCATACCAAGCCCATCCAATTGTGATGGTGTTGGAGAAAGCTTTTCCTCGGGCAACAACTGATTTTTTAAAGTGATCACTACTTTTCCATAAGCTGTCCCATTGTTTTTAACACTATTTGGTAAAGGATCGCTTTTTGTCGATCCCATGTTTAAAACCTCTACAAATTTTCAATAGGATATCAAGCACAAAGCACAATTAGAAACACTGAATACTGAATGAAAATGTCGAAGTCCAAGAAATAAGACAAAATGGACGACAATTCGACAATTACGTCATAGATCTTAGCTAAAACATTCATTGTTGCCAACATACATCCAAAAGTCGTGTTGTGATCAGTGATATTCTTTCGAAAAATGAACTTGTATTGAATATTTCTCAAAAACTCCAATAGGATGGTAATAAAATATGAAGTCACACCATAGAACTGATGTACGGCGGGTACAGTTCGTTGGAGACAAGGTTAATATCTAGAAGGGATTACAAAATAAAGGCGAAAGGCGCCTTTAGACGAGGTGGTACTTGAAGAAAAGAAGTATATATGGGTTCTAACAATGTTGGCATCACTGACAGTGTGACAGTAAGTTTGGTTTAACTACTATAAATTACAGTGATGTAGAAAAAAACCTCATCGATCATATTTAATTAAAGGTTTTGTTATAACAAATGTCGACTTTTATTCCGATAGAAAGGAGTAGTTGTTAAATATATATTGGCTCCGTTGACTCTGTGGACACGTGATATCAAATTTGAATCGTCACTCTCGCCTCCTTTTTTTCAAAACTGAACCTGTGACTGAACATGTCGGTGGACCGAACATACCTATTAATGTTAATGTCATCTGTCAGCCTGACGTTTTAGTCAGCTTTTGTTGTTTCTTGTATTTGTATTGTATATTTTGAACAAAATGAGTGTGATACGTGAAAAAATAGATACTATTTCTAATAAATCCCTTCCTCATTTAGATTCCAAAGTTATGACACCTGAAGATGTGTTAAAATTAACAAAAATAACAGATACGTACTTGTGTGATCCAGATGCAAATATATATGAAATTGACTTTACAAGGTTTAAACTGAGAGATCTAGAAAGCGGAGCTATTCTATTCGAAATTGCAAAACCTCTCCCAGAAAATATTGAAGATAATACTGACAAAAATTCAGATAATGATGAATTAATTGATCCTAATGCTGGACGGTTTGTAAGATACCAATTTACACCACAGTTTCTCAAGTTGGAAACAGTTGGGGCTACGTAAGTAAACTTCAATGAAATTGGAATTATTTGTTTATCAAATTAATGGTTCAAATCATTTGGAATCTATAGAGCTCTTTCCTTTTGGAAACAAGACTTACTGTCTCCAAAACAAAAATACAGTATACAGTCAATATTTTATTTTGAAGGAATAGGGACTTGCAATGGTCTCTAATATTTGCTTTGTAAATGTATTCTGTTGTTTTTTTGTAAAACAGATACTGGCAATTGTTTGCTACAAAATCCCCAGAAAGCAACATCATATCACAAGTGAGATTTGATTAATGAAAAATTGCCAGATTTTTCAGCAGTTATTCCCAGTTCGTTGATGATAATTCTAATGACAACAGCTTGATGCAACTTTTTAATTCTGGTATTTTATATGATCATCAAATTTCAAAGAGTTATCAGTCCAGATTCCCAAGAATTTTGCAGATGATTAATTTTCTATAGTGTAAGTTATAATGGTTGAAACACAATAAGTTTGAATCATACCAATATTTTACATTTTCAAAATCAATTTTAATAGTGTTCTTCGAAGAAACCAAGTCTTTTCCATGCCACAACAAAGTGGTATCATCAGCAACTAGTATAATTTTTCCATTAATATTGATATTAGAAAGATGATTCACAGATAAAAGGAAGGAATTACTGTTTTTTTATATACTTATCTTTCATGAAATGTATATCTGTGTGTATAGCTGCTTTTCATTACATTTCAACATGTTTGAGATTTTTAGAAATTTAACTATATAAAAATCATTTACTAAGTATAAACAAAAGCGGAGGAAGAAACGGAGGTTCATCATGAGTAGAGCACACTACCATTGTGCCAATTCACCTCTCAGATTTAGTTTCAATCATCTAATAAAAACAACTAATTGGTGAACTGAATGTTAACGCTAACCTTTCAACAGTTATAATTGAGATGTTCAAGTAATAGATGATGATTTTTGTATGTTTGGGTTGTTTACACAGTAAATAATATGTTTGAATTCTTGAGTCAATTCTGGCTCAACCAAAACGTGTTTTATAATTTATATTTGTTATTTTTAATTATTCATATCCAATATCAATTTGAAAATTACTCTTAAGTGAAAATTGAAATATGGCATAATTTAAAAAAATCAACATTTTCCAATATGATTGCCTACAAAATTTCTCATGATCAAAAGGAATAAGTTGTATTTTCACTAGCAGTTGAATGAGAAAAACACATTTTACTATTTTACCTATTGACAAAAAATTGTGAAGACAGGTGACTGTTTTCCCTATACGAATTGCTGTCGAAAATACCCTCTACAATTCAGTTATATTCACTTTTCAATTTTTTCAGAATAAAAAAATCATTTTAGGTATATTTTTTTTCAATGTCATGTTTCATGCTTGGTTTTGAAACATTTCCTAAGGGCTCTATAATCTCGAAAAAATACATTAATTTAATAATTTTACTAACCGATTTGCACAAATTGACATCTTTGTTTTTTTTATTCAGGGTTGAATTTACTGTGGGCAGTAGACCGGTCAACAATTTTAGAATGATAGAGCGTCATTTTTTTCGAGACAAGCTTTTGAAAACTTTCGACTTTGAATTTGGATTTTGTATTCCGTTTTCAAGGAATACATGTGAACACATTTACGAGTTTCCTTCATTACCAGCTGATCTTGGTAAAATAATTGTTCATTATTTTAACAAATAATTATTTTTTTTTTAATTTCAGTTAATGAAATGATAGCATGTCCCTTCGAAACCAGATCTGATTCATTTTACTTCGTGGACAATTGTCTCATTATGCATAACAAGGCTGACTATGCTTATAATGGTGGTATGTCTACATAACCTCAAATTATTGATACAGGGTTAAGAATACAATAATTTTGACACAATATTTTGCAAAAAAAATCACACTTCGATAGAAGTTTGAACATTTAATCAGTTCAAATGATATTTCTATGATAATTCACTAAAAGTTTGTTTGAGCATGAACACTGGCTTTCAAAAAATAATCACGTGATGCGCTTGAATCAAAACTTTTTCGAAATGTAGAGGAGTTTTTCATCGATAGAATAAAAAATTGGTGCAAAAGTGGAAAACGTACTGATAATATTAATTATTGTCTAATTTCAATTTTTTTTATTCAAATGTGATTTTTTGCTATAACATTTTGTAAATAAAATTCAGATACCTACTTAAGTGATTATATATTTTAATACTGAGATATGTGATATACTTTTTTCTACAAAAGCCGAATGTGGATCATATATTTATTTGTGAGAAAAATTTTGCACAAGTTGAACAATAATTTAATGAGATTAGTTTGTGTTTAGATTTTTATGAATATGTATACAATTTTATTTTTGAACCTAGTTTTATGAATATTCGAAAAGTCTATGTTCGTGTGTGATAATCATGTATATCTATGAGTATAGTGATGATTAAATTAAATTATTTGTAGTTACAGTGAACCTGTTACTATAATTCAATGTTTACTTACATTAATGTTCATTTATATTAACAGTATTATTTTTCCATTTATTTTGTTGTGTTGCTTTCTCCATTAATATAGATATATTCTGGTGATAAAACAAAAATAATTCAGTTGAATTAAAATCAACAATATCATAATTATTAAAAAAGCAATCATCTACGTGGTATAGCAAAAATTGTATTTGGGTACTGGAGTTTATCTGTGAAAGATAAATTATTCAAAATTAACATTTGGCACTATTATTATAATACTATGAATAATAAAAATTTGTTTCAAATGTAATATTTTACTTGGTTTTAGACTCAATTTGAAGAAATTAAATTTGGTTTCTCATAGATATTTCAATCTAAAATTGTTATATAGATAAATTGAAAATTATTATCTACTTTATCTTGTTTTGACAATCAACAAAATAATCAAACAGATATCAATACAATAAATTTATATATGTGATGGAATCGGCCGATACTTGATGAAAATCCATAACATATTCAAGAAACACAGGCCTTACTGTAGATACGCCTCATGAAGCTATTGTATAGCGAAATGTGTTGCGTTTTTGTGAAACTGATTAGTAAAAATCTCACAATAAAGTGTTCCTCGAATATAATAAATTAATACTTCTACACACAATACAACAACATATATCTACAAATATTATTTTGTCCTTATGGATATTATATTCATCTCAAGTAGAAATCTTAATAACGTTACATATTCCAACTACTCATTGTTTTTTATGTCATGGACTATTTTCAGAATTGGTGTGATTTGAGATTAATTAACTTGGAAAATTTCAAAATGTTGATATTTTTCACAGTACTTTCGTTGGAATATTTTTTCACCAAAGTTGAGCCCCATACACATTTTTTTCTACTATTTTAAATTAAAGAAATACATTTTTCAAAGTTTTGTAGAGGAGAGAGTAGCACTTATGATTTTCCTATTTCCATAGGAAACCTTCATGATCACTGGTTGAAATTAGTAAAATCATTATTCTCAACAAATTTTTGTATAAAAAAGAATGTCACCACACAAATAAGTACTACTTATGATTCATAAACAGTTTCTGTGTTGGTATACAAAACCTATACTGATACAAATAAATTTGAATCAGTACTGCTTTGACTTGTTTATCATACACAATTTTATTTTCAAACATTCAATTTTTAACTGAATGTGTACATCTTAAGTGTTCAAGTTGCATTTTAAATTAGATTTTAGAAATTCTATTAGACACATATTTACAATGAATAGTATAGATCCTTGAATATGGGGTGACGTGATTACATTTTTTACTGAATCAGCTTTCTGAAATAAGCGGTTAAAATATTGAAATTTTAGTATTTCATCCCATGTTTGAGGGTTAGTTTTATGTTTGTGATATTTTAGGAGAACGATTTGCACACAGGAATATGTCATTTTTAGTTGGCACAATTTTATTATGATAACAGTCAACAATTTAGTCCCACTGACCGGTACTTTGCCAAAGAAATATAACAAGGTCAGTTTCTATATAAGTAAAATTAACGTAAAATTCAGACAAAAATATGAAACATGAATTTTGTAAATATTTTCATAATTTCATTCTCTTTCAGAAGTATTATAGAAAGTTTCTTATTGACTCTGTCATTACTTGAAGATCCATAGTTATTTCACAAACTACACTGGAAAAGATTTGATCTTCACAAACTTTATTTCCGAAAATATCATGTTTAGCTATCACAATAGTTTTACTTATATACTTATGAATATTATTCACTACAAAAAAGCTACTGTCATAAAGAAACGTGATATTTTTGGAAATGAAGTTTGTGAAAATCAAAACGTTTCCGGTGTAGTTTGTGAAATTATTATAGAAATTTCCCTTGATATTTCTTTACCGATTCAATTGCTTGAAAAGTTCCTTGAACAAATAGACTTTTATTATGGTGATGTTAAGTTTATCATTTGCAATTTTCATCAAAAAGTAAAAAAATTCAAATATATTTGCAAATTACAAGTATAGTTTTCCAAACAAGTCATTTTAATTTTGAGATGGCATTATTCAACTGGAAAATGTATTAACCACCAAATTCAACACTAATTAAAAATCATTTTGCGTCTTAAATTGATGCCATGAAATGACAAATTTGTTTATCAGGGTAGTTTTTAAATAAAAGTGTTGATTCATGTATGAAATACTTCTGATTTTAAAGTTTTATATGTAATTCTGGATGCACTGATATTTATTTTAGCTTTATGATTGTTTAGTTTTACTTTATCCACGTTATTTTTCTTTTGGTTTAATTTACACAATAATAAGAACAAACAAATGTTTTTGTTTTATTTAATCAACTTATAAATGGGTTGAACATAATAAATTGATATTGATGAAATTTGGCACAAATAAGGGAAAATATTTTGTAAAGACAATTATTCAAACTCATAAAAACCATTTTTATAAAACTATATACAATATTTGGTCTTCAAAGTCTTGATTTTCCTAATAAGAACACCATTTTTAATACTAAACAAAATAATAGCAACAAGCAGCCATGGTTAATCAAAAACAGAATGGAGAAAAAAGAGCGAAATATTTTTCAAACCTTTAATAAATACATAAGCTCTTTTTGGAACATTATAATTGACTGAATATTTGATTGTTTTACAGTTCAATCTGAACGATAACGTAACAATAATTTAGCATCTGAAGAAAGTCGCTGATACTGATGATATGAATATTTTTCATGTTTCCGGATAAAATAACTTCAACTGATGCAAAAAACAACAAGTGTTAATTATAACTGAACTAGTACCAATTACATTGTTATATTTCTAATACACTTCGCTTCGAACATGTCTCCATAAATGTAAGCCTTATATACTTTTATGAGATGAGATCTGTTCACAACCATCATGACAAAACCCCTGATACTATCAACTGAATAATAATTTGACTATGATTATCATGAAAGTCTAGTGACATAAATGATTTCAATTCCAACACATTAAAATTTACTTCTTGTATTCAAAAAGTACAAAAGATCTATTATTACCACTACTTTTTATGCTGCTAACCATATCAGATTGACATAATAATCATCTCAAATCTGTATAACAGAAACTAAGTCATGGGCTCCCAAAACTTCAAAAAACAACCATTTTTCATTAGATCTATCTAAATTTTAGATAGCTTGAGAATAATAAATGAAATAAATTTTAACATTGTCTCAATCATCTATTTCTAAATCTAGCTCTATGTCCACCAAGTTCATTTGCTGTAATGTATTTATTAACATGTACCTAGAAAAATACATGTATAAACGCCGAAACCACATTAACTGTGACTTATGCCTTTTCATTGCCTTATGTATAACATCTCTGTCGTCAAATCCTACCATATATCTAAAAAAAAATATATAACTTATCTCGTACATCTCTTCACTTTTACTTACCTAAATCTTGAAAAGAGAAAAGAAAGAGGTATATCTAGAAACAACCAATATTTACGTAGTACATTAGTGGTCTCAAGTACATATACGCCACAGCCTGAAACAAAATATCTATAAATTAGTTTTGTGAATTACTTTTTTTATACATTGAAAGGGTATATTTTTAGGAGAAATTAATTTTTGGGAAAGAAAGTTTTGGCTTTCTACTTCTCCATCTCGATACAAAATATGTGGGAATCTTCCAAAGGACGGAAGCAATCAATTTCAAAAATTAACTCTATACAAAGATATGTAGATCATGCAAAGAAGTAACAGACACAAACTGGAAGAAAAATTCCTTTTGAAACAGCTATTTTCATACAAACATTAAATTACACAAAAGAAAAATACTTTTGAAACAAATACTTTTATATGAATAATACAAAAAATACTTTTCTCTATTCCATTTGTATTCCAAACATTCGTAATGGAATCGAATCAGATACAATTCACAGGATCCCTATCTTCTTTATATTGTGTCACACAAGAGCACTGGTGAAATATTTTGATACTACCCTTCTGACTTCTTTCTTTTTGACAGTTAATAAACCTGATGCTAATTCCATAAAAGAGGGACAACCCTCCCTTCTTCGACAATCTTATCATTAAAAGTACAAGACTGCAGCTTAGTTCATGGTTTAATAGTTATATGGTTATTTCCAGAATTATTTAGTTGAAAAAATTGATTTTTGTTTTTTCTGTAATTCATGAAAAAGTAGAACATAATCTAAATAAATGTCACTGTTTTACCACTGGAGTTGTTTGAAGGTGAATTAAATAAAATCAAAATATACTTTATTGTCCGAAAATTTGCATCTTATTGACAAAGTCCAAGAAATACAATGTAAATATAGAAAAAGTTCTAAAAAAGTATAAATGTAGATATAAAAAAGTTCCAAAAATGTATAAATGTAAATATAAAAAAGATTCTAAAACACCACCATGTATAAAGTGGTAGTACAAAGAATAAATTGTTAATTTATTGTTAAAAGGATTCGCTAAAACACTCTTCCAAACTATAATAGGGTCTATCAACAAGTAGGTTATTCCCCGCCTTTTTTAAATGATTGTTGCTTAGATTCGCAGATATCATTTCTAATGGTAGATGATTGAACAACTTACCACCATTATATTATATGGAATCCTTGAATAAATTCGAAGTTGGGATGGGAAGTCTAAAGGTATAATTGCTATTACGAGTAGCATAAGGAGTAGAAGCAAAGTTGAACTTCGATTTATGTTTATGAATAAGGCAAACCATCTCTAGGATAAAAAGTGCGATGACTGTTGAAATTTTATTAGCAGTGAACAAGTTCCTGCACGATTCTCTGGGTTTTACATTACAGAGACATCTTATTGCCCTCTTCTGTAATATCAATACAGAAGAGAGTTGCATGCTTCCCAAAAAGGTATTCCATAACGTAGTCAAGATTCAATAAGTGCATGGTAAACGATCTTTGCATTATAGAAACCCAACTCATTTGAAATCAATCTAACTGCATAACACCCGGAGGAGATCTTACTCTTGAGTTATTTAAGGTGTTCATCAAATTTCAGCCTATCATCAATGAATACACCGAGAAATTTTGAGTTCAATTTATTTTGTAATACGGCAGCGTCTATTGGAATTTCATCAATCGAACATTTTAATGATATTATATTCGTTTTGGATGCATTGAGAGTAAATTTGCATCGTACCAGCTCTTCACCTTCTTCAAGTTGAATGATATCATTTTATTTAGCTCCACTGAGTTTTTTTCATTCCACAATATTGTAGTATCATCCGTCAATAGTGTGAAACTACCAGATATGTCAATCATAGAGATGCCATTCATATATAGCAGAATCTCAAAGATATGAAATTAAATGCAAGGAAGGAAAATAATCCTGTATTACACCATACCTTTTTTCACATCTCTAGTCTTTTCTGTGCAATAAAATTTATATGAAATGTTTTAAATTATTATTGTAAAAAACCTGAATCGAACTTAATTCAAAGTGAACTCAATACGAATTTCACAACTCTCGAGAATTTACTAATTAATCTTCGATGTTATGACTTGGGCAGTATTCCTATATATGGTACTTTTTCAGAATGGTACTTTTTTAGAACAAAAATCGAAAATGATTCTGCATTAGTCAATGACTTAATAGGTTCTATTATAAATCCAGCTACAGAGTCGTTCACAGCAAACAAACTAATCTTAAACTGAAATAAAACTCGGAATTTGCCTGTAACACTTTGCCTTTAGGACATACTATTGATATCACTCTAAATCAGAAACTTCAAGTAGATCAATTATCAAGCAAGTTATCAAAAGCAATATTTGTAATTAGACGGTTGAAGTCGCTATTATGACTTACGCTTCAACCAACTGGGTCATTCCTTTTATACTCAGTAGGTATTTATGAATCAAAAATGAACTATTAGAACTCTGGCCAGAATTACATAGACTAAAATCTGTTGACCATGGTTCATCAAATTCAAAATAACTACTCACACTTGCTTTGGCTGTAATTCACAATTATTCCAAATAAAAAAGAACATGCATTTGTACACACCTAATGGAGATACCCACAATTATCCAACTATTCACAATAATAGGTTAATCTCTACAAGTAAAAAACTTATTGGTTCAACTCTTTTCGACCATGGTCTACTCGCCCGGAGAAAATTTTAGCTAGGGGTGACAGTAACCAAGTAGAATTTGAAAAATGAAACTTTAAATGTTTTTTACCACTTATATTTGTAACTATCGTTAGTGCAGTTTTGTCCTATATGGAGACTTATTGTGGAGATTTTCAAAGTAATACAATAAAAATTAGTTTGAAAATGTCCATAAGTATCCATTAAACTTTAATTGTGGAGTTTTATTGTATTAGTTTGAAAATGTCCATATAGGAAGAAACTGCAGTAAGGATAGTTACAAATGAAAGTGGTAAAAACAGAAAGTATCATATCTCATTTTTTCATGATGATCTCCTAACACATAGTAACAGCTACATTAATCAATTCATCAAGAAAAATTTGACGATAATGAGACCCAGGTATCAGTTTCCTTTAATGATAAAACAATTTTCACCAAAGACGTGTCTAGCTACACATTAGCTTCTTCAGTGAAAATGGTGAAGCTACTGTATAGAGGAACAGAACATGTCATTGGTATAGTTATTAGTGTGAAAAATGTTTTGTTATCATGGAGAAAGTTATTAATTTTCATCAATTAATTAATAAATCGAATGTATCACCGGAGTATAAAGACTATTTCACTGAAATGACTTATACAATTATCCAGAGAGTCACTACCCCCATCTGTGGGCTTACTTGGAATGTTTAGGAGATAAATATTATATATTAATATACCCTAACAGCATAAAAAAAAAAGAAAATTATCGTGGACAATGTAAAATACATTTTTCTTGGGTGAAAATAAATAATTCAATTCAAACAGATGATATACAAATCAGCTTGTTTCTGTTTTAAATATAAAAAAAATCTTTGTAGTTCCTCTGGGAAAAAATGCACACCAGTTGACTACCTTGAGCGTCATACGTTTGAGAACATTTTCAGTTTACTCCTGTAATGAATTTAACTAGATGTTTTTCCAAATCACGATTATCCAATTCATCTCACTACTTTTGCTCAGACACAATTCTCAAAACTTTTCAGAGATTTTACTGCAGTGCTTATACATCTACTTCAAAAAAAAGGAATGAAATTTTATTAAAGGACTTTTTATGTCATTAGTTATCTGATAACCATCAGTTTTTGTAACAATTATCACACATCTGTTATCACCACCTCCTGTATACAAAAAAGTATAACAATATTTTTACTTACATTTTGGTAAATTCCTGTCTAATATTAAATTTGCAACAGCATAATATATGCTGGTATGATTATTATGGTAAGACACTCCATATCTGTCAAAAGTTATGATAGTTGTTATGTTTAGAGACTCCACATAACGCGATACAATTTCAGATATCAGTTCAGTGGGCCATCGTACATCCATTGCATCAGGAAGTAGAGTATGATCATGAATGAATATATTGCTTGAATCTATTCCGAGTATTTCGCAAGAACGATATAATTCTTTTTTTCTAATTGAGCTCATACCATAATTTTTACCTAAAAAAAACTCTTATTATATTAATTTTAAGATATGTACTGGTGGAGAAAGGGTCAATAATGAAACAGACAGATTAATCTTCATTTTAAACAATACAGGCTCTGAAAACAATCAGAGTTTTATTTGGATAATATTCTACATAAAAAAATATTTAACTACTCACTGACCTGTAGATAAGCAGATAAGGTACACTATACAGTCCTTTTTTCTAGTAAAGTGGAGAATAGTTGGACCAAAAAACATACATTCATCGTCAGGATGGGCAGTTACAAATAGAACTCTTCTGGAGTTTCTTGATTCTCTGATGAAGGATAGACATTTCCATTTTATTATACACAAGTAAAGAAATATACATATTAATGTGTACGCTATACAGGCTAAAATTAAATGCTCCACCGTGTCTTTCAGATATTCCAGTAGACTTAAAAAAAATTCTCCAAATAAGTCACTTATATCTTCAAACAGTAATGGAAAACTGATCTCTTTCCAAGCTTGGAGAGCTCTGTTCATTTCAAATTAGATTCTGGTGTATTATTAGATTTCGTGAGCATCCGTGACAATAAATAAAAATAGAATTATTTATCAACATTACGTTCAAAAACTAAAATTTGACGTTCCTAATTTTGTGGTTATACCAAATAGTATAGCCAGTACGTTAGTACAGCAAAGAATTCTGTGAAATCATAACAGATATTTCCCATCAGCGGTTGACATAAAAATATATTCTTCTTCTTATATTTTCATTGGGCTAGGTTACTGGACCATTAACTCAGGTTTGATCTTTGATCTGAATCTTTAGAGGAAGTACGTCGGACTCTGAATCCTAATACCTCACTTTAAATGGAACACTTTATTCTTTGCCTCATTTTTTTTTCCATTTTCTCCGTTCAATCCAATAATGTTGCTTAAGAGGTAACTTCCTCTCAAATTGTACACTCCGGTGACTACATAATATGTGTTTTAGATACTCCTGTCGAGGAAAAGTGGTATATGGGAAAATCAGGGTTACTATTTAGGGAGAGTTGCGAAATAGAGTCAACTTAGATGAGGGGATACCTGAAGAGATGATATGTTTCTTGATAGTTTTTCGCCTTTTTCATTTAATTTCTACGACATCCACCTGAGTGCTGTACTATACATTACTTGTGCTATTGCTGAATAGATAGCAGTTGTCAAAATTGTTTAATCTTTGTATATATAGACTGAACTAATCATTATCATGGATAAAAACAAATGGTCTGCTGGGACATAATTGTCGAGTCATGGGAATTCTCTACACTAGGAAGTGACGTTAAAATGACGTAATTTGACATTCTAGGGAATACGTTGGATCATTGCGCAGGGTTCAACAGGCCGTATTTCACTTGAAGAAAAGGAGACATGTTATGTAACAATACTAGAACACTTGCGCTCAAGCTAATTGCGAACTGTCAATGTAATATGAAATTGTCAGTTCTCTGCTGATCTTTCACTCAGTATCGTTAATGCCTAAACATGCCAGAATCAGTTTTATTATCTTCAAAATAAGCACTTTCTATTCCTATCGTATAACCGCACTGTCTCGCCGCTATTCACGAAAATACAAATTATATAATCAACAATTAATATTCGAACACTAGAGAAACAAGTAGAAAACAAAGAAACAAGTATATACGTATCCTGAATAAGGATTTTTCTTCGTGAAAAATCATAACACTACCTATGAATGATTATTATCTTTTTTTGAGATGTCATTATTAAAAACTTCGATCCTTTTCAAGTGCATACATTTCTTCGACTTTTAATACCTCCGTCTCATCATTTTGAACTTGACAATATCCATTTTTCAGATCTTTTTCCTTTTACAAATTTATATTCAGCAGTTTTCCTCTTTTTAATTTAGCTGATTAACGGAAACACAGATTTTAAACAGATTTTTTAAACAGATTTTTTATCGGCATACTCGTTTCCCCTTTCCTTTTCTGTATGGTCTTCTTCCTCAGTTGCTTTCAAATCCGTATCTTTAAGGTTTGGAATTTCAACACTGAAATGATGGAATGCTACGGAATGTAGTATATTGTTGTAAATATTGAGACAGTCAAGTAGACTACGAGTCTTTAAAAAATGTCCCAAATCTGCCTTTATATTTCCCCAATCTGTAATGGACAATATGGGATTGTATGATATAGATTAATGACCTTTTGTGCAGGAATATTTCACTTCCTTGGTGGTGAGTTGTCTATCATTAACCAATGTTATTGAAAGATGAATCGCTAGCATGAAAAATATTCCTGAAGTGTTTTCACTGTTGATGTTGCTGCAGTGAGTCACTTGACTTAGATGTGCTAGCGATGTTGCATGACAACAATCCTAGAGTGCCCTTCATGGACCGTCTCTAGAACTCTTTCTCAGTTTCTTTGGTATCACTATTTTGTTCAACCTCAAAAAAATAGTTTACTGTTGAAAACTTGAAATATTTCCAGCGATTTATGCCAAATATTTTCGTATAAATCTTTTCGTAACTTTTGAATTTCATCAACGCATAAAGAAGAAATACTAAAGAAATGACATTTGGCCTAGCAAGTTCTGTTGCTTCACATACCTACCTGTGTATATAAGTGTATACTTTGCCTTCGATTGGCACAGGGATTTGTAAACGAATCCATATTATTCGACTTTCCGGGTTGATAAACCATTTTGTAGATGAACGATTGGAGCTGAAGAACTCACCTTTCAATCCGTACACAGAGTTCTGGAGCAAATAAAGCGTAAACAGGTTTGTGGTGACTGAAAACGATTTCAAATTATGTTCTGCCACACAGGTATATTTTAAAATGATTTACTGTTCAGATAATTTCGTCCTGCCAGATTTGGTGTCCCCGTGGTGGTGAGAGCCCTACCAAATGGAGCCACATCCTGAGGCATGTGTATCCATGCTGAGCCCACAGTGTTATTAACGGATCCATCGAGATACCCTTCCGTCCTAGAAAACATGTTCATGGTAATTCAGGGCTCTGCCGTGATGGACCTACTTTCTCTTCGAATCTTGATACTATCAACAGATTTGAGGGCTAAGCGGTTCTTGATGAGCAAAAGTAGAGTCTGCACCAGGAAAGGCTACAAACTGCACCCAGAGGTCAGCAAATGCTGATGCTCAAACGATGATTTTTTCAAACCAGATGCGAAAGAGCCCTGCAATAAAGTATGAATTTGGCACCCTGAACATTTGACTACCTCAATAATGATCAATTGGAACCTCTTCAGTATGCCATTATAGTTGTCGTAGAGGTTATTGCAGAAGCGGATCGAATCAGATTTTCGACGTTTGGCAGAGTTTCATTTTTGCCAGCAGACCTCACCAAATAAAGTACTCGACTTTGTTAGCAAACAGAATTTATTTGGTTAAGTTGAGCAGGGTTAAGTTTTTTCGACTTGGGGAAAAGTTGGGAAATTTTGGGCCATGAAGATAGAAAAAATAATAGTAAAAAAATGAATAAAAATTAAAAAAATAAAAATGAGAGAAAAGAAAAGGAGAGGTAATAAGAAAAGGGAAAGAACCAGGAGAAGGTTGGGATTTCTCAACATGCATAACTTGAAGAGAATTCTGAGTTGTTTGAAATCTTCAAAAAAGTTTAATTTCTCCCAAGTAAGAGAACAGTCCTGAACAGTCCACAAATTTTGACTTGACAATTTTACAAAATTCCAACTTTTTGCTGTTTTTCCGACTTGGAAAATTTGAGAAATTTCGGGCCGTGAAGATAGAAAAAATAATAGTAGAAAACAATAAACACAATATTATTTAAGTGTTGTTTCCTTTCGTTTGTATTGAATATTTCTATACATGGTGGATATGGTGGAAGACCAAGGACCTTGGTCCAAAGAAGAATAATTCCCATTATTATTTTTATAATCACCAACATTTATTTTTGTTTGTGCATACCCTAACGGGCATAATCATTCAGCCAATCTTTGGATAGCTAAGTAATAAAAGTAATATATTATAGTAATAACTAATCCCTCGGCTTTCATTTCTTCGACAGTTGGGAAATTTTGCTGGCGGAGTTGGGAAAATTTGGTTTCCTTCCCCCCGGTTTTTCTTTTCGCTACGGCTCTGACTTCAGACCTACTTACCTACCTAGATGATTGCAAGTTTTTTTTTAATTTTGATAGTGATACTTTTTCCATTCACTGAGACTGTTGTCATAAATTATAATTCTAGTTACATCCAACTCTGAGTCAAATTCCTAATCTAACTTCCGAAGATCGCACATGATCTGAAAGCTCGACACTATTGATTTTGAGAACACACTCGACATTATTCAATAAAATACTCTACTTATTCTCGAAACTCGATGTGTATTTTCAATTGACCGTTTGTGTCCATGTTCATTTCTCCAAAAATTATAATATCATAAATAAAGTGCATTCAGAGTTCTTTCCAAAATATTCTCGGAAATTTTGGGATGACAGTGTTTGCCCTTTTTATAGCAATAACTTATTTGGATTCGCACGTTAAAATTAAGACCTCGCCAATCCGCGAGGAACTATAGCTGGTTGACGGAAAAACATATGTTACACATATATGACTTCACGGTTTTCATTCAAAATGAAACACCGGAATGTGTACCTATAACAATGCCTCTGAATTTTTGGATTTGACTTACAATTTACGAAATAGACAAGAAGTAATAATGTTTAATGTCAATTGAAACAAATGTTATATAAACATACAATGAATTTTCCACCAATTCCTAGGCTCAATAAAAATCATTTTCAATCTCAGGGTAAAAATTCATTGAATACATTCATTACAAAATATTTACAAATAGCTATAAATTTCACCAATTTGAAAATTGAATATTTGAATAAAATATGTTTTAATGATACCGGGAAAATAAATATAAGATGAAAGGCAAAAAGTGACAGTAACAATAAATCACGCAGCAAGACGATGTAGTAGAAAATATAGAAAAATATATATTTATAAATCACAAACATTGAACAACGGCAGCTTGACTAGTATTGAAACATAATTTGGAATGTTATGTAAAATGCTTTTGTAATGTCTAGCGAATAAGATTTCGTTCGAAAAATTCAAGGTTCTTGAGCCTAATTGAACCCCACTTAATATTTTTCTTAATTTCTAACGAGTAAACTTCACAAATACAATTTAGTGAAGCAGGTACATCATGAGCCAGATTTGTAAAATATTCAACACTATGAAAAACTCCTATTATGGCCAAATTTTATTAAACACCTCCATGAAACTGTCGTATATCATGAAGGTTATGGCTACATCTAGACACACCCTACTCAACCTTGGCACAGTTCCTTTGTAAAATGCAAAAGGGCCTTCATTCTTCCAAATTTGCAGGAAGCAGTCTATTGTACTTTTGTACTTGGCAGCTTCAAGTCCCTGCATACGGGTTTTCACTACATCTATGGGGGTATTTCCAAATACTGAAGCAGCACCTGAAAACATATGCCATTAAAATGACTAAGATACGAAAGCATGCTAAAAGATACCCCGAGGGTCAGTTAATCATAACTCATATCTATTCGAAGTTAGTTCTTGAAATGAGAGACTGGTAGTGTTAAACTTTTTGTTTTATTAATTTTTTTAAATACCGTTTTAAATGCAACTTCATTCAACTTGACTAACAGTAATACACAATATTGAATTGTCGCAAAAGAAGTGACTTTTATTTTTATCGTTGTTTTAATAAAATGATATTAAACTGACAGTTTAATGATAGTGATTAATGTGCCAAAATGAATATTAAACTTATATACAGTGTCTTCAACAGGTAGTCTGAGTTCATACCGACATAAAGTGCAAATTAGGCAAAATGTATTAAAAATGATTCGTAAGAACGATTCTAGATGTTTTCACACAATATGTAATTCACCAATGACGAAATTATTTGTCAACATAATTTTATTAAACGAATTGTGAAAGCTTTAGGCCAATGAACAAGCTGTAGCCTATTTCCAAAAGGAAAAGATAAATATCCTGAATAACTATCGATCAGTTGCCTCTTTATCAGTAATATCAAAAATGTTTGAGAAAGCTATGAGTCACAATATTTTCAAATATATGGAATGCTTCCGCAGACAACTTTCTTTCATATTTTCAAGACCCCTTGTCGTGTCTTGAGTAAGAGTGTTTTAACTAAACTTTGATGTTAATGGCTTGCCAGATCGTTTTCATTCGAGACTCTCTAGTTTTCTCAAAATAACGTTCTTTTCGAGCAACCATTCAAGATCCCCTTTCGAACACAACACCTTTACTGTGTTTTTCTGATTGATTCGGCCGTTGCTTGATGAAGATCCATAGTAATTTCAAAAACTACACCTCACAATTTGATCTCCACAAACTTTATTTGAAAAATATATATCACATGTTTCGCTAACACAGTAGCTTTATCAAGTGATTTGATAAAGCTACTGTGTTAGCGAAACATGTGATATATATTTTTCAAATAAAATTTGTGGATATCAAATCGTGAGCTGTAGTTTTTGAAAAAACCTTTACTGTGAACGTTAGTACCTATTTGCCATGAATGCATGTTTCCTCCAACACTCTTTGTACATCAATAACCTTATTCATGATAATGTCTAATTTAACAATTTTAACAGTATAAATTTCATTCAAGACGCATAGACGCGGCTTACTAAACACGGTAGATTCATCAGTTGGACTGGTAATCACAAATAGATAAATGATGAATTCTGGTAAAACAGATAGGTTATGAAATTTTTTTTCAACAATCAGAATAACAGAAGCCTATAGTTTGCACATTATGTCGGTGCACACCCAGACTACACTCGTTTTTTTTCATGAACTACTTATAGGTGGAATTTTATATCGTTAGCTTTATACATTTTTTAGAAATCGACCTGTTTTACCAGAATTCATCATTCTTCCAATTGAGTTTTGACAAAGAATTTCTATAATTAAAATATTTATGAATTACCTATTTTCCTAGAAGTAATTATTATTGTATGGTAATTGTTTTTCAAAATCTAATTGTTTGATCTGAATAAGTTTTCCAATTATTAGGTTGTTTCAAACGTTTTTTCCATTTTAATGTCATGTGTTTTTGTAGCTCCATATCTCAATAAGTATTTGTTTAACTGATCGATAGAGAATTTTATACTCTATATATTGTCAAATATGGAAAATAGTCATGAAATAATTCAAATTCATTCAAGCAAATACATAAATTGAAAGATGTTTCAACCTCAACTTCATTATTCTAAAACAAAAACATTCAGTATTCACAATTCCATCTTTCAATATTCCAAGTCCATAGACATCAAAATTAATACGATTACAGGATATAGAAATATAAAACAATCTTCAAATACGCAACGTTTCACGGATGCATGCGTATTGAGCATTTTACCTTAGTACCTACGGTGACCCGAGCAAAATTGCAACCTCGGCATATGAATCTTTATAAACATTGAGGGATGTCAAGATCAAAGGGAGAAAGTAGTGAGTATTCAGTATTCAGTGATCACTCTTCAGAAACGGTTGCAGAGCATTTGTAGAATGCACTACATCTCCTTTTCTTCGATCCTGCTGGGTAGCAGTATAATGTAAGTTTTTGGTGATTCTTTCAACTATTTAATGTTAGTTCATTCCCGTGAGTATTTTTCTCGTTTTTTTCCATAATAAATATTTTATTAAGTTACACTGTTAAATAAAAGATATTGTAGAAACGTTCGATGTACTCGTCCAACTAATGTATAAGTAGCATGTAGTAAAACGCGTTTTGAATAAAATTCATAGTGTGGAAATTGTTCAACTATTATCATGGAATGATCATGGATAATTTTCATCAAGAAGGGGGTCAGTACACTCATAATCAATAAGCTATTGCAATACACCAAGCATTCAAAATATTGCTGCGCTAAAGACAGTACATGTGTTTCTTTTTTCATATTTTCATACCCAATACACATCTTAGCCGACAACAAGAAGTTTCAAATCTTATGGCAGATTCCTACACGGAACTTTTACTTCATCTTTAACTTTTCCTTCAATAACAAGGATTAAAAACTGATAAATTGATTCATTCGTTCATCGTTGTTCTGGAAGAAGTGTGCGCTATAGAAGGAAACACGTAAATTTAGGGTGTTTTGAGTTACAGTTAATTTTTAAAAGTGATGTAATAATAAAAGTTCAATGTATATGCAAATCTCTTATAGATGTTTAGCGTGCATTCTTTTCATTCCTATAATTTTCGAACTCAAACCCCAGTGTCGAGAGCCGGACACTTAGGTAACCTGTGCGTCAATCATTCAACATTGAATAAATGATACTAATGATAATAATGAAACAGAATTTCAATTCCCTTACTGGAAGTTTTGAAAATTCCATTTTCCACTCAAACCTACCGTTAAATAACTCATCAAAATAAACTCATCAAAAATTGCAGTTGAGATATAAAATAATGTCATTAAAGTCACATCATTCTCAAAAATATATTCAGAAAAGTCAACAGAAAATTGTTTAGATTTCATCAAATCGATTTTATAAGCGGAAGAACTATTTACAGAACTTTCAAAGTTGATAAACTCAACTCGTACTATAGGCGACTTATAAATTTCCCTTGATTTTGTCGTTTTTTTCTTCCTGAAAGAAGTAGTAGGTTCCAAATAATCGTTGAATCACAACTAGCTAACATTCTTGTAATATTGTCATTTTATAAGAAGCTATATAATGGAAGCGAATTTACCTCACTAAAATGTTGAGTCCTTCATCATGAGGTTTTACACATCATTGATTGCATTTATTATTGAAAATATGTCTATTTTTCTTCAATGTTCTAGTTAAACGATAACATAAGTACGTACTCTCAATCCACTTTCCTAGCTCAAAACTGTCGATACCTATTATCACAGTCACTAGTAGTTTACTACCACACTATTAAGACGTTCAAAAAATAAGGTGAATGTTCAAACTGTTGTTTTATATTGATACACACGTCTCGAAAATGTGTTCACAATTTCAGCCGTTTAGCATGTTTAGTTTGTTGGTGTAAGTTATAAAAGTATAGTAAATATATTTAGTCTTTTGCGTGTACGGCGATTTTCTGCCACCGACAAAAATGTATCAAAGAATTTGCATACAATTTTGTGTGAAAAATAGAATTAAACGCTCAAACAAACTTGAAATGTTGACAGTGGTATACGGTGATCGTACTCTGAGTCAGATCAATGTTTACAATGTGTACAAGCTTTTCACAGAAGGTCGAGAAGATGAGAATGACGACGCTGGCCTTGGACGATCCAACACATCAACTACCGATGAAAATATTGAGAAAGTGACGAAAATTGTTTTTTCAAAAGTTCAAATTCGGAATTTTATTCAATTCCAATTGAAACTCGGAATTTTGTTCTTTGAACGGTAAATTAAGTGATTTTTTTCAAAATAATTTCTGGCATCTATACCTATGCCTCCGCAAATTCGCCAATGAAACAAATTGAAATAATTTTTACTCATGGTAATTACAATCCTGTTAACTTCCTTACCTGCAACAGCACCAAATGCTCCAACTAATAATTTGGGAATCTTCTTGTCCCTATCCCCACCTTTGTACATGTCTTTGAGGGATTCCATGACGAAAAATCTGATGGCTTGATTAGAACCTTGTTTCATTATGGTTGCCGTTAAACCTTTGTATACTCCTCCAAATCCTAAAAAATGTATATTTAAATAACTTCAAATGACACAATTTCGGAAATACACAATAAGTTTGTGCAAACTGATACTGCAAATGTGGTATTATCTCCTTATCGTCCAAAGAAACTTTTAATTTTTGATAACAACAATACAATAAAAACAGCATTGATATTTCATTTTTATTAGCTATAATAAAACAACATTTAATTAACGATTAATTGATTACCTGCCAACACAATGTACAATCAAGGGCTAGCCGCATTGAAAACTGAAATTATATTAAGGTACTTATATATTTTAAATATTCAAATATTGCTATGAATAAACTAACCACACGACAAAAAATATATGAGAAAATTGTAGTATGAGAATGTTACACTAATTTTGAGTAGGGAAGCCTGAATGAATCTGAATTATTTTCACGTTAAAACCACAATTGGTTGAACAATAACTGATTCATAACTACCTACTGCTGATGCCAACTCTCTTGGCGACACGTGTGCCGACAGAAGAAAAGTTTTTGCAGAGATCTAAAAATCTGAAATTGAAACCCAGTATTTACTCTCAAGAATATTTTGCCGTCTCAATTGCCATATCAATTTGTGTCAGTGAACACGTGAAAGTTTCAAAGCTTCTCACTTTATTTCATTATTAAGTACCTAGTTCGTAAAATAAAAACATGCACTATTTCACCGGTACAGAAAAATGAACCAATAGGAACTTTAACTATTTTGAGTACAAAGGGTACACTTTAATTGGTTTGAAAAATATCACTTTCTATTTAACTTTTCGAGATAAATGAAGTGAAAATGTGAATTGGGGACAAATTTCAATTCTTAAATTTTTATTTGAGACCTGATCAAACATTGTCTTTCGTTTCTCGCTAAATCAAGTTGTTAACAATATTTACCTGGATTACGTCATAGTGCCGTCATATTGAATTTACAAAAAAATGGCTTCCAAGGTGCCATTTCGAAAGGAAATGGTCACTTGTGTTATATCGCTGAAGACAATTCTATATTCTATGGAATGGTCTAAAAATTTGCAGGGTTCTATTTGAAATTCTTGAATTAGGTTCATTACCAGTTAAACCGAAAAGGTTTTCAATTGTCTTTTCATTCGAAATATCGGCTCTAATGAACTATATCTTCGCTATGAATTGCAAATTTCTCAATCCAGAAATGGCGCAATGAATTCGTTGTACAGAATCACCAAATGATAGTCCTCATACTAGAGATTCATACAATTCTAGCTTCATATTCGATAATTTAATGGAATGTACTGAAGATAATCTGAAATGTTTGTTAAAAGCCGAAATGCTTAGCGAACCTCAACAACCTGTCACAAATTGACAGGTTTAATACGATGTTTGACTTAGTTTATGAAGGTAGGGAAACACTTGTATCCGATCCGATAGAGGATCGGGTTTTTCGCACAAAACAAAAAGCTTTTGTCACAAGCTCTTTCCACGCATCTACACGTTTGTGCAATGTCGCGAATATACGCGTGGTGTTTCTATTGTGAGCAAATGAATTATTGGTCAAATGAACACATTTCAAGCCAGATCCAGACGCTTGGCAAAACTCAACAACCTGTCACAAATCCGTTCGTGTGAGTGGAGTGTTTGACTTGGTTTGTGAAGGTTTGCAAGCGCTTGTAGCCAATCTGATTGGGAGTTGGGTTTTTGGCACATATCAAAGGCACTGGCAGCAAACTTGAGCGAACCTACTCGTATTCCTATTTTGAAAAAAATGAGTGGATTGGTCAAATGAAGATATTTTAAGCCTGATCCATATGCTCGGCAGACCTTACCAACCAGTAACAGATCCATACATTTGGGTGGAGTGTTTGACTTGGTTTGTGGAGGTTTGCAAGCCGATCTGATCGAGGGTCGGTTTTTGGCACGAATCAAAGGCAGTTTGCCGCAAGCTCTTGCGATGCCTCTACACGTTTGTGCAGTGGCAGTGAAAATATGCGTATTTTTGATATGAGAAAATGAGTGGCTTCAAAACGGATCCATACACCCGGCAAATCTCAAGAATCTATCACAAATCCGTACGTGTGGGTGAGGTGTTTGACTTAGTTTGTTTAACACATTGGTTGCGATGTGTCTATACACTCAGCCTGGTTATGTGTACACTGGAGGCAAACAAACGAGTGATCCTGCTGTATGTAAAGTGTCTGGTCAAATAAAGTCTTTTCAAATTTCATGGAATATTATCAGGCAGAAAGCTATATTGTTTCTTGTTTTAGTAATAAAAAATATCGACTGAATATTGCAGCCGACACAGGTTCATTTTTTCCTGTAAAGAAAATGATGACGCTCGCTATCTACTAGCAAACGTGTGGATGACAATGCCAAAATTTAGCCCGATGTTCCAGCATTAAACTATGTCAAGAGTTTTCAGACCTTACTCACCTTGTTCTTTGACTATAATGCCAACTCCGTGGAAAAATCCCTTAAAACGAGGATTAGCACTTCTCTGATCATTTATAAATTTTACTTTAACAGTTTCCATCGGGGTTACGGCAAAAATAGCTTCCATTACTCCGGCTCCCAAACCGCACAATAACCTTCCAGACACGCTCAGCGTGCCGTCAGGCTGTACCATCTTGTTTCTAAAAGCTTCAAATGATCCGAACCTAAAATAAAATTATCAATAAATTTTACTTTTGAATGAATTTGGAATATGTTCATGATGGAGCAAATGTCATTGCTATTATTTGAAACGTAGAGAATTTTATTTCTCAAATTTTATATAGATTCTCAAAACTTATTCATTTTCGAGATGATTATTTCTCTTATGAATTATATTTCTCGAAATCGCTAATGGAAATGAATATCTTCAATCGATCACCAACAAATGACTTACTATCAAAAACTGTAACGGCAGGTGGTTTTCCATTATATGAAATGAAATTTCCTAAGTGTATTCGACAAGGGCGTGTACTTGGAAGCGATGCGATGGGTAGCTGTAGTTTACACGTGCTCCCGACTTATATTATTCACTATGGAGTCAAGCAAAGCTAAGTCAGTCGAACCTTTTCCGTTCGAATATCTTTTGAGCAGAAACACGTTCGCAGCTTTCCTTTGGCGTTCAATAACGAAGTTGTTTGAGATGTTTGGATCACTAGTCATGCGATGGCTCTTTTCTGTACAAAATCTAGTAGTCTCAATTATGCTTAGAGTCATCAAAAGGTTTACAACTTTCTAGTTCAAAATGGTGTTTGACGTTTTTAAAAAGCTGACTTTGCTATTCCAGTCACATGATTATGATAATTTTGGTTTACAATTTATACCCAATTTAAACCACAGGTAGCGGAATTATTATGTGATGTTCTGTCACATTCACCTTCTCAGAAAAAAAAAGATGCGTTGGCTTTGTCATTCTTTTTTTTAAGTTCTATGATAGGTAAGTAGTTCTTCAGGAGAAATAATTTTCTCAGAACTCAAACTTTGTTATTTCTGAGCAATATCAATTGATCAATGTATGAAACCACTTGTAGAAAAAGTCGACCAACATGCTGATTGTAGGTACTCATGGTATTGCTAAATAACAAAGTTTTCGTTAAAAAATAGAAATATATCGATAACATTTTGATAAAACTCAAATGAAATATCAGACATAGGTACTCAATTTACCTTACGGCACTTTTTGGTATAGACCCATATAGAAGTACGCTAAGACCCCTATAAAGACCAAAAAATCCGTGACTCTTCATAGTTTTTTTCACACAGTCGGCTATCCCACTGTATTGCTTTTGACCCCCCTTTTCGTCCAGCTGGAGCTGTGTTTTGACATATTCAGTAGGAAAGGTTATACAAATTTCGATTCCTCCAGTAATACCACCTGAAAATCATAAAATTCAAATGTTAATTTTATGATATGATTTTCCCTCGTGAGCTTATAACTATAGTTATTCTATCAAAAGGTAAACCAGGAATTTCTGGCGTAGAATAAATCTAAAACGAACACTTCTTCCTATCACCAGAAATGCAATACTCTTCTCGACCGCCTTTCATCAATCAAGTTGGCGTCTTCAAAAGATAAAAAAAAAGATGCCAATTTGTTAGATAAAACGCGCGTCTAGAAGAGTATTACATTTCTGGCGATTGGGAGAAGTGCTTGTTTTGGATTATCCTATTGTCATAATGAAATGTATCTCAATCACCAGTGTGTAGAAGAAGTTTTTAAACACTAGTATCAAAATGTTTGAAAAACTGAAGACACACACAGACGAATTTGATTATATCTACTATACAATAAAACTATTGAGTCATCAAGATTTTTTCATCAATACACGTACACGAAATTAGACGTTGGTATTTTCAATAAAATAATAATTTAAGATAAAATCTCTCGGCCTCTGGTCTAGGGATTTTATCGAATTATTAAACAATCAAGTCATTCACTTAGAAAAATTCAGAAAAACATGGATTTCCACAAATTTTAACCCACTAAACTTAGTGCACTCGGAATGTTATAATTAAAAAAATTCAAAATAGCATTTCTCATCAAATTTGTAAAAAGTCATTCGAAAAAGATTTTCTGGCAGTTTTATAATCATATACCTGACTTCATCAAGCTAGCATTAAAGTATGACTGCGGCAAAGACTAAATAGTTTTAAAATATTTCAACGATTTACAAAGGCTTCATTTTTCATGTATAAAATTAGTACGAAAATTCAAAACATTTTCAGTTGAAGTGAACGCCATTACTGAAGAAATGAGAAATTAGGTATTTAAACTAGTTTTGAACAATGTATTGCTCTACATGTCGTTATGATCAATAGAACTAAAACTTCTTTTAATAACGTTTTGAAAGTCATAATGTGGTTCATATTTGAGCAGCCTTTTCGCATTAAATTCTATGAAGGGTGAATGTCAGTAAACGATTTGCTCTTATAAACTTTTTGATTCGAATAACTCTGTAAGTAAGAGTCATTCGGCATTAAATCGGGCGATCGTAGTGGCCAACAATATACCCCCAGTTATATCTTATACATTTGCATTTCTTTTCTGGCATACTGATTCATGATGTCACAAAGCTGACACCATGAAACTGGCATTTTAGTCCGTATTAATCGAAACTTCAATCTAATTAGCTGAAAAATTTCGGGATCTCTCAGTTGTCAAATATCATCCGCAAATCCGTTTTTCCTAACAAGACTAAGAACTATGCCCAACATTTAACTAATAACTAAGAGCTCAGGTCACAACAAAAATGAGCATGTGCCAAATTGAGATATTTACAGCTGTTATTGCCCAGAGAAATTTCAAATGTGTACCATTTATAATAATGGAAACAATTAATGAAAGAGTGTGAATTTTTTTTATTTCTCCTTTTTTAATTTTTATTTGTGAAAACATATTCATCAAGTTTATTTATTTTTTCTACCAAAAATACGTGTTTCAGAGATCATTGCTAACAATTTCTCAAAAAAACTTGAGATATTGCCATTACAAATAAAAAAATACATTAAAAATGAAGTTTCCTGTGCATACAGTCGAATAGCTATATGGAATTTTAAACGATTTTGTCATTTACTATAATTATTTTGGTATAGAATTCAAAATTCTCTGTCTTTCATGGATGAGCAAATGTCATTGCTATTATTTGAAACGTAGAAGTTTGCTGTTACTGCTGTGATATATGCCGCTCGTTTCGGTACGCGATATAATTTGTGGAACCGTAATTTGTCGTTAAAAAGTTGTTTAAAAAAAAGAGAAATATATTCGTCTGGTAGAACGAGCTTAGAGACTTCAGATATGATCTTGAAGATTTTACAATAAAGCGGATTTTTGATGTAATAATTTGGACAATTCAGGTGATTCTGTAATATTCATTAGTGATTTATTTGTAACTGAAATGAGTTTATGGTCGGAAAACACCAATGAATATTTAACGGCCACCCTGTATACTTCAGGGTGATTGTTAAGTATATATCTTGGAAAATAGCAAATTTTCCATTTCGGTCAAGAATCCGTGCTGGGTCATTCACAATATAAGTAAGGCCGCTACTTATTGTAAAAGCATGTTTACATCGAGATCACCAAACATTTGAAATTGATAAAATACTTGTAGAAAGTTCAGTAATGTGTAACACTTACCTATAGATCGATATGCGCAATTTATGAATTTAGTGATTTTTATGATTTTGTTTTGAACAGCGCGAGAACAAAATGTGAATGTTGTAGTATTTCTAGTTGGCAAAAAAGATCGATTTGTTTGAAGAGAAAAATTCTAAATTTATGTTCAAATTGGAAATGGAAATCGTAGTCTGCATGTATAAAATCGGCATGTTATTTGTAGCACCAACTTTGGTTTCTGTAACAGAATAGAAAAAATATTAGTTTACAAATTTCGGTACAGAAGTGAAATTGAAAGTTGGTACTTTCTAATGGAATGATGATAGGACTCTGACAACTGTCGTTAATGGTGGTTTTCAAATAATTTTTGAATTGATAATTTTTTAAGGACAAAACACAAGAACTACAGGAATATCCTTAAGACGCTCTAAGAGCGGTTCCTGTGCGAAAGTAGCGATTCACGTTGGATTTAAATCGCTGGAGATTGAATCTATTTGGAAAAACGTTCTTAGGAAGTTTATTCCACATAAACACAGTTCTCCAAATGAAATAGTTCTCAAACAGAGGAGTTCGATTTGAACCTCAAAACGATGAGCAGTCACAGTCCGTCGCGTATTTCTTATATGTACCGCTCTTGGTGGAATCGAATATGCCAAATCACTTGAACCTTTCTTCGTTGTTCCAGACTATCACGGTTGCAAGTGATGTTCGTGTCTCCAATCAGACGGATGGCTCTTTTCTGGACGGAGTCCAGCAGCTTCAGAGTATGCTTAGGGGCGGAGCTTCATACACAAGAACAATATTCCAAAGTAGATCTGATCTGAGCTTTATAAAGCATCAAAAGTTGCTGAGGTGAGTACAGTTTTCTGGTTCGGAACAGTGTTCCAAGATTTTGAGAAACAGCCTTTGCAATTCCAGTGACATGAGTGTGCCAAGACATATTGGTGTCCACCCGGACCTTCGCTTCATCTGGAGTTTTTGATCTTAGGAGTGCTAGTATGCAATTTTTTAATCCTACAATGAATAAGACCCAAAAATATATTCCTCACTTGAGTATATACCGGCTCCCACTCGTTCTTGGCTCAAAGACCCAAGAGGGAGTGGGAGCCGGTATATACGGTGGTCCAGGCAGAAGTAGCGGCCATCGAACACTGTATAGGGGAAATAAACAGGCGCTCAGCTCATTTCAAGTCTTCTCAAGACTGGTGGGAAGCTTTCTGAGCGCACTCAAAGAGTTAAGTACCCAAAATAGGGTCACAATAGCTTTGGCACCCGGACATGAGGGTCACAAGGGCAATGAGAAGGCCGATGTTCTAGCCCGTGAAGGCGCATCCAAGGCTATGATCATCCCAGAACTCTTCTGCGGGGTAGCGAAAGCATGTATAAAGACATCCATAAACTCATGGATATAAGCGCCGAATCTATAGATTGGTGGAACAAGCTCCCAGGAATGAGGCAAGCGAAAGAGTTCATAAAGAAATCATCGCCCAGATTCACGGAAGACCTGATAACACAGCCGTAAGGTTGTAAGGGTAGTGTCGGGTCTACTAACGGGGCATAGCCGACTCAGGAAACATATGAGCAACATGGATCTGACAGAAGAAACCCAATACAGGTTCTATCAAGAAGAGGAAAAAACCGCACTGCGTGTGCTCTGTGAATGCGAAGCGTTAGCAAGGCTGAGACACGCAAGATGCAGGGAAGAGAAACCAGAGGCTGCCAGCTATATGAAGGGGTCAGTGTCAAGGCTATGGAGTCTTATCAAAGGGATCAAGCTAGACAATGAGCTCTAACAACCAAAGAGCATCACAAAAGATCTGAAAAGGTCGCAGTGAATCAGGCAAGGGGCCAGCTCCCCGACAATCTAATCTAATCTAATCTGAGTAAAAGAAATCAATTCTGATTTAATTTTCGTACCAAGGATGATGATGTGCACAACTTTTAAAGTATTATGGATAGCACACCCTAACAATTCATTTATCGTTCAATTGTTCTTTACATTTTCAATAGCTTTCATTTAGGAAAGTTTGTTAAGTGTTAGGATACCCGTCTCCCACTTTGATTAGATCAGTACTAATTTTTGTTCAGGGTCTTTTGTGATCTTCATCCTGCCAAAACAGTGTTGTATTGTCTACAAATAATGCCTTTCTTACATACATCTGTCATATATCATACATCATACATATAGTAAAACAGAGTAATACCCCTGGGGAACACTACGATGTATAACTGTAAATTATGTTCATGTTGTACTGTTTACAAACTGTTTTGTTTGTACAACTTCGCACATAAATAATAACGAAACTTTTCGGTTACCAAGTGGCCCTGGAAACTCTTACCGAGAATTTCCAAATTTTGAGTAAACTTCCAAAAAATATTCTCCTTGATAAAACCACGAATTGTCTCTAGTCTGGATTTCTGCCACACACGCCTGGAAGGTAACGAAGCTGTCGACTCCCTTGCAAAGGAGACTGCTGCAAGTGGTTTCATCGGACCAGAACTTGTCACTGATATCGCGTTAGGTTTTACAAAAAAAAACACTGGAGAAGTGTTTCAGACTTCTGGCAAATTTTACCATGTTTGAAGGCGAGGATGATTTACTTGCAGAGGTTACTGTCATCTGTATCAATATATGAAAAGATGTGAACTGTCAGAAGACAGTGCGTGTAGTATCTGTTTTGAAGATGTAGAAACAGCAGATCACATATATTGTACCTTCCCGCCACGGAACGTATCAGGATGCCAGAGTTTGGCAACGGTTTTTTTAAAGGACAAAACACAAGCACTACAAGAAAATCCTTAAGGCGCTCTAAGATTGGTGCCTGTGCGAAAGTAGTGATTCACATTGGATTTGAATCGCTGAAGATTAAATCCATTTGGAAAAACATTCTCAGAAAGTGTATTCTACAGAAATGCAATGATCCAAATGAAAGAGTTATTGAACAGTGAAGTTCGAGGCGTAGTGAGTTGAACATCAAAACAATGAGCAGCCACAGTCCGTAGCGTATTTCTGATATGTACCGCTCTTAGTAGAATCAAATGTGCCAAGTCATTTGAACACTTCCCGTGAAAGTATCTATAGAAGAGAGACCAGTCTCTAACCTTTCTTCGATGTTCCAGACTATCAAAGTTGTAAGTGATGTTAGCGTCTCCAATCAGGTGGATGGATCTTTTCTGGATGGAATCCAGCAGCTTCAGGGTAAGTATGCTTAGAGACGGAGTTCCATACATGAGAACAATACTATAAAGAAGGTCTGATCTGACCTTTATAAAGCATCAAAAGTTACTGAGTGTACAGTTTTCTGGTTCGGAACAATGTTCCAAGCTTTTTAGAAGCGTTTTTGCAATTCCAACGACATGATTGTGTCAAGACATATTAGTGTCCATTTTAACCCCCAAGAAACTTATCGAAGCAGAAAGTAGAATTGTCTGACATGACATCATTATATCTGGTTGGGAGACATTTATCTTTTTGGAGAAAACCGATGCCTGGTTTTACTAGTATTTTCATTGACATAAAAGACAATATATACACTATTCCTGTTTCACTTCGGCATTGAAAATTGAAACGGGAAGTTAAATTCGTTGAATTGATATACTAACAAAGAAATTCATTATTTGAAATATTCATATAAATTCAGAATAACCTGCAATAATTCCTTTAATCCCTGTATTTCCTGCGGCTGGAGCTGCCGCACCGTTTTCCCTCATCCACGGTCTCTTGAAGGGGTAAACAAATTTTGGGTTTGGAGGGTTCATATTCGTCCTGAAATGAATTCGAGAACAATTTGAATCACCAAAAAAGCACTATACAGAAAAGTTAAAATTTCAATCAGAGCATACGCAACTGATAGATACTTGGATGAGTATATTCTATTTTTAAGCTAGTCAAAGAATTCAAATTCATACATTTTTCACCCAAATGATCGATTTAAAAATAATCTCACGAACAAACACATCGAATTATATAATAATAGGTATAAGTGGAGTAGTGAAAGTAAAAATACCTGAATCGGTTTTTTGAATTAATGTTAGAGGATAAAAGCCAAGGTTGAGAAATCACTCGGTGAACTGAGTAAAGTCTGTGATTCGCGTGATCCAATATAAGGTTACCTAATTTCCGTTGCGTTGTTATCAATTTATCTTTATCGACCAGTAACACACTAATATTCATAAGACAACACACATTCTTCGAAGGTTCAATTAATACTACACACAGTGGCGCGCAATCAGGTTATCTACTTGGGTTATGAACTTTGGCGAGTGGGGGACTTTGTGTTGCAAAGTGAGGAATTTGTTTATGAACGTGGTGTTTGTAATTGTTTTTCGAATGAAAGTGTAGTAATGACTGGTTCATACCACTTTTATTTTATCCTTCACTTTGAGAAGGTTGTCACAATGTAAATTAATGGGAGCGTTTATACACCACACTTCTTCCTAAAAGGGTGGTGTATGAATGATTCCATTCATTAACAACTTTCCTAAAGTAAAGTTTGGTGTATGAACGAGCCACAAGTCTTATTTATAAAGTCATTTATGGTAATCACTATTGTTGGGGGGAAAGAATAAATGACAAATCAACTGTGTGGTGTTTTCATGGTTATAGACTCGACAGTTGTGGAATTGGCCGCGGTAGTAGTGCGCCCGACTCACGATCGGAAGACCGTGGGTTCGATTCCTGCCTCGACCAGACATTTTTCTCGAGAGAATTTATCTGGTTGAAGCTGGGATGATTCTGCAACCGTGTTAAGAATCACACGTTAAAAGGTAAGACCTCGTTAGTCCTTAGCTCGCACTAGTTTCTCAACTTCTGAGAGTTGTCGTTCGTATGGGGGCGACAGCTGATTAACGGAAAAACAGATTTTAAACAGATTTTTAAACAGATGAGCGTATTGCTATTTATTATCGTGATTACTGACTGTTGTTTTTTTGACAAAGTTTTTCTGAACGTATATCATAATGAAACGAGAAACCCAAAGGATTTTAGCATTCTTGCATGTTTTAGAGAACAGTCGTGAAGATGGTACATTGGGCCATTGGTACAGGAAACCAACACACATAGACAGGTACCTGACCAAAAACTTTAACCACCGGCCACAATTAAAGATAGGGGTAATTGAAACATCGATTAAGATAGCACGACAGTAGGAGATTTGAGCCGGTTCTAAGCCTCCCCCCACCACTATGACGTCACGTGGGGTGGATGACCTAGACCGACTCATGTGACCCTGAGAAATATGTCGGTGCATGCCACCTTGAAAAATATGTATGGTGTATATGACCTTGAAAAATATGTCTGGTGCATAGGTGGTATGTGTACATCACAGATTACAGCAGGTTCTGGGCCTCCCCCCACCACTATGACGTATTAATTGTTTTTTTTGTTGTTATTTAGTAACATCAAGGCGATGTGACCTTGAAGGGTCTGGTGCATGGATCGTTCAGAATTTTTTTCATATGAGATTTTGTGTGTGTGTGTGTGTGACATAGTGACGTAATTACATTTGATTGGT